TTGAAGAGGTAATTTTTCGATTTTCTTAGTCATTGCTCTAAACGCAAAAAAAAAAAAACCATCACTAACAACGAATGAAAGGATTTAACCGGGAGTTGTAACCCTCCTCTAAATGTTTTATTTTTTTTTTTCAATTAAAATAAATTACCAATTTTTTAGGTATGCAATACAATAAATAAAAACTGCTGATATCCGATGTGTGAAAGGATAGGTATTATATATTTTTAACAATGTATTATTTATTTCTTTATGTACTATGGTTATAGAAGTATTGAATCAAGTATTGATATTATTTTATTATGAAAATCCACGGATATGACTAGTCGATAAGAGTAAAGGATTAATAGCTTAGTTTATTGGCTGATAGATGACAATTAATAGAAAAAAAACATGGATGTCACAGCCGTTTATTAATTAATTAATTTTTTTTTTTTTGTCTCTATGTTAATTTGGAGATATTATATCTTACATAGATTTATACGAATAATATTATTTTAATCAAAACTCCAATCACCTAAAGTTATATTTTAACTGGGCAATTAATCAATAATTTTTATTTTTTACTTTTATAGTTAAATTAAAATGTATAGTTTAAAAATAACCTTTAAAAAAAAAAATTAATAAATTTAAAATCAGTATTTTACATTCAAACATAATACTTAATTCAAATTTTAAATTTGACATTTTCCATTCAATAATGAAAATTGTTTTATAGCTCGATTATATATTTTAAACTCTTATAGTAGTGATTTTTTGATTAAAATATTTGGAATATCTTTCCAAATAAATACAGTTTTAAAATACTTAACAACGTTTCAATATTTTTATATGAAATTAAAATGTCAGGTACCAATTATTTCATTAAAAGAAACTTTTTTTAAATAACAAAAATAAAAAAATTGTTCAGTAATAAAACTAAATAATGTACGTAATAAATTTCACTGTAAATATTTTTTATTATTATTATAATTATTATTTACTTGAGATAAAAACTTATAAGAAAATAAATAAATTACTTATTGAAATACTAACTATAGTGTTTCCAATACGCAACACAGCGAGATAAGTGATTGCAAAACTCCTAGTGCATTAATTCATCTAATTTAATATTGGTTTAGGGAAACATCGATACTTATTAAGCACATAACTCAAAACAAAAATAACTAAATGCGTCAATAGTCAAGCTAATGCATTTCTCACTGTGCTTAGAATTTAAATCGATGATTTTAATAATATTAGTGACAGTAATATTTACAATCAAACTATATCTGCTCCTCACCGAGTGCAACAAGTATACCTACTTCCTGCTATTAAGTAGACGATTTTTCATCCAAAATATATTGTGTTATTATTGAAAAAACAGTTGGGTTTGATGAATTTGTTCGGATAACAAGAATAATAGCAATAATATAATGGCAATCGTTTTTTGGGGCACACATCAGTGGTTCCATTGTTTTTAGTTGTTCTTCGACATCGCCAAACAATTAACTGCACCCTGTGATTTGTTGATGCAATTACGTACAATATGTTCGATAAAATTATGGGTGAAACCATTAGTTTTAACAATTCCATACGCCATACAAATTGATTCGTCGTCTGGTTAATTATTCAAAATTCATTATAAATAAATCAGCTACCTACCGCAGAACATTAAATTTCAAAAATTTACAAAAATTTAAACGATTGTAACTTTTTTTTTAATGCCTAGGTTAGATTTATCATTTTCTAACACGAAAAATAGTCAATATCTTTATTTTAAAATTATTTTGAGCGTCTATTCATGCAAAAATATGCAAGAATAATGCTTATTACGTGTAGTTTAAACTTAAAATTTAAAATGATACACAAGGAATCATTTAACAATAACCGCTCATTTTCAGATAAAATTATTTACTGTTAGAATTCATAAGTTAGAACTTTTGAAATTTTAATATTTTACGTATTTATAATTCGCTTTAAAATTAAGTGTCAAAAAAGCATATCCGGTAAATTGAGTTATTTATAAATTTTATAATACGTAAATATATTATTCTAATATTAAAACTAAGGAAGGTTAACGCGAACTTGTGTTTTGAGAATTACGACGCACTTAGTAAGACGAAGAAAACAAGATAAGGATTTGGCGTTCCCTCGTTAATTTATTTTTATTTTCTTGACAAATTCCGGGGATTAAATTTTTACTAATAAATTGCTCTCGATTACTTCCGATTTTCCCGACTACAATATTAATACAATCTAACTCATGCAGAGAATCAAACAGACGTCTCATGAATATGTTCAATGCTTATAATAAATTTTATATACGGAATTTTCCCGATAAAGCATGTTTATAATAAACTGAGGATAATCTGTTTCATAACTCTGACACAGAAAATATATTGACACGCAATCACTGATGATGGGCTGGAGTTGATAACGTCTGACAAGTGATTAATGTCCAAAAATAACAGACCGAAGAAAAACTAGATAATAATAACGTTTAGGAAACTTTGAACCGTCAAAACGAAATATATATACATTTGTTGGAAAAAAATCATTCACTGACAAAGCACTTTAATCATTGTATGGTTACCAACATTTTTTATTTGTTTTCAATACATTTAGCTAGGGACCTAATTAGTGTAGGTAATCATTAAAACGGATGTGGATTAATTTTGTAGTAAAAGCGGTTACAAAATGCTAATTGAAAATTTATGATGACAGTGCATTTACAATCAATAAATTATATAATATTATGCAATTGTTGGAATTGTATAAAATGTTTATAATATAAATTCCATACAAATTAGATATTAAAACAAAAAAAATATTGAGAAAGTTACATAGCTGTATAGCAGAACTTAAATATATGAGTGTATCTACTACCTTGTCAGTGAGTGGATCACCGAATTTGGTTATGTTAAATAATTAAATATAAATTCAGTGGCTAATAAATATCTACTTTTGGTAAACAATTTTAAGCAATAACGATGTGTGTAGCTTTTATAAATAATTTTTAATGATATTTTAAAATTTATTTAAGTTACTGGTTTTAATTTATTTTTCTTTTGTTATATAAAAGTATGTAGAACCAAGTTGGATAAAAACATCATATAAATTATATTATAATAATAGTTATAATATTATTATATAATAAACTGATAGGCTTAACCAACATACTACCCTCGTCATTTATTTACTAGTAATATTTAATTTATTAAAATATTGAATTTTTAAACATACTTAAAGACCATATTTTCAAATTCTGGAACATTTTTAATCTACGTAAGGAGTGTCTAGTGGTGACAAAAACTTCTGTTTTACAAATGATAACTACCCTTTTCACTGTAAATTATTTAATGAATAACATTTTTTTTTTTCAATTTTGATGTATCTGTCTAAATCTTGAACAAGTAATTTTTCAGTTATTAAAATTTTCATGTTATAAATAATTGTCTTTAAAAATGTTTTACAAAAATATAAAATAGATAATACTAAGATCATTTTTATAAATTAAAAAAAATTTAAAATTACTATAATATCCTTAATACACAAAGTTAAATAATTCAAAAACTCTCGTTCGATTTTAATTTTAACATCTCAGCATTTTCAGAAAAAAATATTAGTTAAATAATTTACTATAAAAAATGGAAGGCTGTAATTTGAAAATCAGAAGTTTTCCACTGAGCACTCCTTAAGTATTATAACATTTTCAAGAATTTAAATGTATGATCTTTAATTATAGTTAAAAATTCAAATTTTGAATAACTGCATTATTAAAAACAATAAGTGTATGAGCATGCTCGTTGAATCATTCTGTGTTATTAACTTATTACTACGCGTAGGTATCGTATAACGGTGTCTTGATGTAAATAGGTTCGTGATATAAATAAAAACTTAAAATTTGTTTTAATACTTTGGAAATATAATTATGTATATAAAATAATAATAAACGCAAATAGTGAAAAAATTGAAGATTTATTTATTTTTAAATTACAACAGAGTAAATAAAAGCATCAATTTGTATTTAAGCGTCCAATTTTATAATTAAACAACAAATTATGGCAACATAATTTCAATATTTTCAAATTTTTGTGTGTAAAGTATGTATCTTATGAAGAGCCTCGTATTATATTCTCAAATTTTTTTGGTAAAAAAATAACATTTATTGAGATTTATAAGGAAAAATCTAAACAAATTCTAAAAAATTCAATTACCTATAAATAGCGTGGACCGCTTAAAATAACCCAAAATATTTTGGAAATTATGTCATGATGACTATAAACTAAATCAAATTTCTATTGTTATTCACATTTAAACTAAAACAAATTTATAAAATCGATTTTTTTCAAAAACCAATATTACATAAATATTCCTGTTTTTTCATATTTTTTTTTTCCTTTTATATTGTTAAGTAGTAATGAAAATTGTCTACTTGGTTCAAACGCACTAACTGGCAACTAGATACAACCCGCTACCAGAAACTTTGAAAGATGAAACTCTCAAAGCATTTATACTGCTCCAAAAAGTTATGACAGATATAAAAATAAAATAATAAAATACTCATCACTATAAAACCAATATAATATTATGTTTCCGCTCAGAATTTAAAATAACTAAATAATAATCACAATATGTACATAGTTTTAGAATTCATTAGCATTTATAAACCGTTATAAAATTAGTTAATAATTATTATTTGATAGGGTTCTTATTGGTTGATATTCTTAATCATAAAATATGTAATAAAACGAATATGATATTTAAAGGCAAAGCATTGTTTTGTTTCTGGTAACTAGATATTAACCATTCCACAGTGATACTATCTTATATACAGCATATTATACAATAGTTGGTATACAAAAATAAATACACATCAGCTCGAATATTTTACTTAACTAAACCTTGAGTTGAACGACTATTTAATAACAATAGCAATTTATTTTTAATAATTTTTAATTCTAATATGTTTCATAATAATGTATGTGATTGAGTTTAATTTAATTATTAATTTTTTTTAGAAAATTGAAGTGCCATTTTTGGAAGCAGTAAAAACTACATTAGGCGATCGATTCACAGAAAACATTGAAACAATATATAAAATCACCATTAAACTCATCATAGAGACATTAATCAAAGGGTATACAGAAGCTGCTGGGCCATGAAAAAATAACCACACAGGAGCTTGATGAAATCGTAAATTTCATATCATAAATGTTCAAGTGACCGAACATAACAATATTATATTCCATTGTCAAACGATAAGTTTAAATATGTCATTTGGAAATTAAATTTAATAAAAAATAAATAAACGATAAGCTCAAATTGAATTTACTGAGCGCAATTTGTATTAATGTCATAATGTCAATTTGATTATCAACGTGTACCTATACATAAAATGAAATCATATTTATATAATTATAAATATATAAATAAAAATGTGTAATTATTGTTATTGATTGTTAATTGGCTATTATTATTTATTAATTATATTAAATCAACGTTGTATACATACTGTATGTTATATAGTGACGAAACTAGATATATATATTATTTGTATGTTTATATACATATTAATATATATATTAGATAAACAATATGATTTCGATTTGAATTGTTCTTGTTTATTTATTTTTTTGATTATTTGCATTTAGAAATAAATTATTGTCTTGTTATGGCTTTACTGCAGCAGTCGTTATGCGAACGTTTGGTTGCATTTGCTTCAAGTGAGTATTATTGCATTGTTGTGTCGTATAATAGTACGATTAGTCCGTGTAGTACAGGTTATTTCTATAGTTAATTTATGATTTATAACTATAAGATATTAGGTTAGGAATAACAATAAAAAACTGATAATTAATACATGCAATGTTAAGCAAACGCACAGCCGTAGAGTACACATATTATGATGAGTACTATATACTTTCATAAAAGGTTTCTCGTTTCTTTCGCGCCTTGTTTTTATTTTCAACAAAATGTAGTTTGTCTGGAAACTTTAGATGGCGACCAAAGTGTGTACAAGCGGATTGTTGACCAGTTGGAAGATCTACAGTGGTTTCACCAAGAGTTGTTACGAACAGCAGAAAGTGGCGTCAGCAAAGACCCTAAAACGTTCGAAAGTAAACAAAAGGGTATTTTAACAATGTCAACAGGAAAAGGTCCTTCGACCACACCCCAGTAGCTGCAGGACCTTATAGCCTCATTAATTTACCCTCGAGATCCCCATGACCGGTGACCGATTTTTCAAACTTTCCTTGTTGGTATGAAATGTATTTTCAAAGACTTGACATAACTACCCTAAAAAAACCTTAAAAAATAAATAAAAACGAAGCCTATAATATTGTTTGTGTGACAATGATAAATCATGAATGCCACATAAAGTTAAAAAAATATCTTGGATAAATAAAAACCTCTTAGACCACATATAGGGTGTTAATTGTTTTTAACATAATGTCTTGTAATATTTCTTTATGTTATCTTATTCCGTCAACAATTAACGCATAATCTTGAATAAACGAATTATATAACAATCATATTTACTTATCATTGTGAATCTTAGATATTGTTATGCCGCAGTATAATTCATTTAAATTTCGGAAACCTCAAAGGACAGATCTATTTGAATATTTGTGCGTATAAATATCAAGTATTAAAAGAATAAATTTATTGTTTATATTTTATAGGCATATTAAAATAGAAATAATGTATTAAATATTTGAAGGGTATTTTTTCCATGCCATTATCCCACTAACATCCAAACAATAAAAACCCTTATAAATAACGAATTATTAGTTTGATATTAAACTTGTATAACTTATTATTTTCAAAAAAATATGCTACCTACTTTATAGTATAAAATTGAAAACAGAGTTTATATTAAAAACAAAAACCCGAAGTGGGCTTTGGTGAAAAAAAAATGTTATTGTTAATCAAAATCGTATTTTCACGTAATTAAATTGTTTAGGATCAAAGTAAAAAATTGAAAAAAATTGATAATAATATGATTTTATTCACAACAAAATTTTATCATGTTATACCTAATGCTATATCAATGCAAGAAATTGCTAAGTTATAGGAAACAAAAAACAAAAATAATACTAACATTTTGGTTCATTTTTCACGTTAGAGTATATCATGTATCCTAAATTGCAGTGGACGAATTAAATTGTTTTCTACTAAATGCCTATTACCTATACTAATATTATGCGTCTATATCCATATCAAGTTACCATAGTTACTTCAGAAAACCATTATTTATGGATGAATAAATATGAAATAATTAGTTGGATACACGAAGTAGAAGGGTATATTGATGTACTTAACATAGTTAATTAAATATAAGTGTATTATAATACAAGCTTTCCGCCGGGAAGTCTTAAATATTTTAAGCTGAAAGCACTACGAATGTCATTATATTCTATACCTATATATTAAAAATACTAACTCAAAAGCGAAATGTTAAGGCTAAAAATCTATTTGAGTTCGTTATTAAATAATGAAAAAAATTAATTGAGCGTTTAAGATATTTTAATATTTTATGTTACGTGATTATAGGATTATAACTACTATTGATTTTATAGAATTTTCAAGAAGATGCAATATTTCTAGTTATTGAAAATTGGGTTTAGATAGGTACAACACCAGACACAATAATCAAAAAAACTATAGTAGCTAGCCAATGTAGTCTTGATTAATTAAAAATAAAACCCTTGTAGTGACTTAAAATGTTTTTAATGTGGAGATTATATAAAATTTAAAAAATTAATAAACTCAAAATAAATTTTAAATTTTAAATTTAAAAAAAAAAAAGAAAAAATTAACAGACATAATATATCACCCTACATTTGGATTAATGAACAAATCGGAGTCTGTGAACCTCGTATTGAGAACTATTTTGACTGAAATTTTCAACCATTAGTTACGGATTGGATATAACACTTTATATATTTTTGAGAATGGTTGAAGCTATTTTCTAAACATTTCTGACATTTAAAAAATATCCTTTTGAGTTTTCGTTAAAATCTATTGATTATTTATTGAGGTATATAAACTAAAAACATATATTAATTTATACAGATTGTAAAAAATTCTTATTTATTTCTGTAACCAATGGTAAACCTATAAATTATATGAACGAAAAATATTCAATTTTTGTGATTCAAACCAAACATCCTTTATGAGCAATTTATATCAACCTATTAATATTGAAGCTATAAACACTCCTCGAGTGTCGAGGAACATATTGTGTGCAATATTTAGTAGTAATATGAGTGATACACTTTTCTTACACACCTACCTAACCTATTTAATTTTTAGTTATTTATTATTCCAACAATCCAATGCGACTATTCTACATTGTTTTAACAGCACTCGTGATTTAATTTTAAAGAACGAAACATTTTCACGTAAAAGTCAAAAACAAAATTATTGAGAGTCAAATAAAATAATATTATTTTTATTTTTATCAAAATATAAAACAATAAAAAGATGAGCACCACAGGATTTTGAAGGCTCTTCAACATACTACCCTTATTTTTTTTTATCACCAAATCGAACGTCTGATTATTCTTCCAAATAACGTACCATCAAATCATATAGATAATCGTGGCTGACATTTTAATTTCCAATTAAACTATCTTATTTTTTTAAAAGACGTAGCGATAGAATCAGTTGCCTCCCTGCGGTCTCCGTCATTTACACACCAGACCGTAGAGAAATCGCGTTTCGCATTCTTTCAATTATACTAGTCTTGGTTTAGCTTTTTAATGTACAATCTGTTATATATATATATAAACTATTGCCGTTTCAATATGATTTTTTTTAATGAGTTTAATTTTAATAGCAAGTTATTTTTAATCTACTGAGTTATATTATTAATGTTAAATTGTAAATATTTCATATCTACTTGAAAATTAAATTATCAAATTAATTTCGAAAACAATAAAATTCGAGAAATCATATTAAAAATGTAAGTAAAGACATAAAAAAAAATTGAACGTGAATACAAAATTGATTATATTATATAATATCGTTCAATTTAAATTTTTCACAATATTTTTAAGTCTTTTATAAATATTTAATGAATAGTCTACATTTTTATTTTTTTATTGTAAATTAATGGATTTAACTGAAAATCATTTCGTCTAAAAATAATACAAATAGTTTTTAATAGTAATGAAAAATACTACATTAATTGTTTCATAGTGTGTCAGTTAAGTTATAGTCTTGTAGTTGAAATGTGGAGAGATAATTTTATAAAAAAAATAAATGAAAAACAATATGATGTAAGGGAGATAAAAAAAGCAATCAAAAATTAAACGGGAAAAAATAGCAAACTGCTCGTTTTATATAAAGAGTGAAGATTCTTAACGAAATAATATTAAATTTTAAAAACAAAATATAATGTACATAATGATTGTGTATTTCTATTATGAATTTATTTCATTTATAATTAATAAAATACAGCAGTACTTAACAATTTATAATAATACCGCTATAAAAATTAGATAATTTAAATTATATTATTTACTCGTATACTTTTCTATACATATTCTAATTACAGCATTACTTTAAAAGATTAGTTTATTTAAAAAAAAAACTAATTTTATCAAAATAACTGCTGTAGCCTGTGGACTCCATTTCACACCTTATTATAACACAGTCACACCATAATTAATTATCAAATTTATTTATTGTATATATAAAGTTGACTATAATAAAAATTTTAAACAAATAATCTAAAATTATTTACTAATTAATTTTCTTAACTTGGGAATTTACGTTAAAAACAATTTAAATTCTGGACATAACGTGTATGAGAATTTCTTTATTAATTGATAACTGAATGTGTTTTAACTTTTAAAACATATTAATATAAATAATAATAATATATTTATTCAATTATTTATACAAACAGGTTTGTATAGTTATAATTACGTGTTAATGTAATTAAAGCCTTGACTAATTTGAAAATGTAGTAATATGCATCTTAATTTACTTTTATTATTTTTTATAAATACTAAATATAATTAAATACTTTCATTGGAACTGTAAATAACTACAGAGTTATTAATTAACTTCTAATTTTTTTTTTAATCGTTTCAATTAATATAAACAGTAATAATTTAAAATATCAATTAAAATGTGCTAGTATTATACTCAGAGATCAACACAAATTTCTGTTTTAAATAGTTGCCTTAAAACAAACAGTTAATAATAATAATACTATCTCGTAATACCAAAAGATATTAATGTACAAATAAAAGGTATAAATGAATATAAATAATATCCGTAGACAATTTGGAAACAATACAAAATGAAACATTTGAATCAATAGAATCTCTCTTGAATATATTTGAGAATATGTGTGCACAGTATCGTCAAAATATTATGTTAACAAAACCTTGTATCTCTAA